GTTATATTATATATATATATATTATGTTTTCATGAACCCAAATTAAGCAGAAACTGATGGCTAGCATCTGATCTGACCATGATCTGACCATGTGTAAGCTAGCCATGCCTAAATTCAATTTGTTGAAATGGGGTTTGCAATTTTCAGGGCCATGTGATCAATCTGAACCAGCAAATTAGAAACTTTGAGGAGATAACGTTGCTAGAGTTAGAAACCCAACTAGGGTGCAGAAGCCCTCAGTCACTTCCCAACTACTTGTTTGTGGTGGGAACTGGTGGAAACGATTACTCATTTAACTACTTTCTGAGGAGCTCCAACCAAAATGTCAATCTGAAAATTTTTACTGCCAATCTAACTGCCACTTTGTCCAGACAACTAAAGGTGTGTATCTTCAACATCCCAAGTCATTTTCATAAAATTGCTGTTCTTTTAATAATATTTTCACACAAATTCAATTATGCAAGAAGATTGAGTACATATAATTGAAATTAACAATATGACAATATAACATGCTAAATACGAGAAAGAAGAATTAATCATTTTATTAGTTCTTGAATTTTGACCTGATTTGTATGAGTACCTCAATTTCCAAAATAGTTCCTATGGTCATTTAATTTTAGTTTCGTTTGGACAAATAGTCTTGCCGTCAATTTTGTTAACTTTTTCTGTTAAATACAGGGGCAAAATGGTATTTTTATATTAAAACAAAAAAATGAATAAAAAATCATATCTTTAAAATAACAATAAAAGAAAATCAAATAAAAAAACCAACAAAAAAAAAGTTTGGAGGAGTAAAAATCGGGATAGAGGGGGAGAGAGAGAGTTTAATTTTAATTTTTTTAATTTTTTTACTTTTTTATTCATATTTTAATAAATTTTGATATAAAAATATCATTTTGCCCATGCACTTAATAGAAATGTTAACAAAATTAATGACATGATCATTTGTCATAACGAAACTAAAGTTACTTGACCACGAAAATCATTTTGGAAATTAAGATACTCAAATGCAAATCGGGTCTAAATTCAAAGACTAATAAAACAATTAACCCCAAAAAAGAGAATAAGTAAATTTAGGTTTTAGCGAAAAAAAAAAAAAATTCACTTTTGGAAAAAGCCAAAGCTTTTTCAAAAAAGACAGAAAAATCTATCAACTTACATGCAAATATAGAGGATTCCTTAGGAAATCCAAAAATAAATAAGGGCAATTTTGTCCATTTTGGCTTCTTTTTCAAAAATTTTCTCTCCTTTGTATTTTTTCAAAGTCTCCCGTATAGTACTGTGTGATATAACATGTCAACCATACCGTGTACTTATATTATAACTCGAGTATATCATTTCGTATACAGACTCCCGGTTCAGTAGGTAGTAAATGATTTGATCAGTTAGATGGTGGTATTTATTATCATATGTCTGTTCCAGTGCCGGGAAAAACGACTGAGTCATCGGGAGGCAAACAACACACACCACACAAATTAAATCTTTCAGCGATTTGCTAGAGTTTTGTATGAATATATAATACAACCTGAACCTGTTGGATGAACATGGTTCCGTGTAAATTAATGTAAATGTTTCACGACTTTTCCTTTGATGGTAAAAGGACTTGTTCATTTATGATGAGGAGGGTGCCATGCCACTGCTTTAGGTCATTACCATTGGACACGTATGAGGTACGGTTTATGGCCTGCCAATGTACGTCTCAGACAGAGGTACAGTGAAACAATTAATACTTGTTGGTAGGTATGCAGACATGCATAAAATTCAGTAATAAACCCAACCCACTCCGCACACATGTAATAAAGGTTAATTACAGGTCAAAGTCTTTTATGCAAAATACACATAGAACATCAGAAGCAGGAATTGAATAAAAGATTTGACCTACCTAACGTTGATGATCAGAAATCTAACATGATATATGCAAGATCTTTCGGAAATAAAAGATTTGACAAGTTAAATGCATGACATGTCATTTTCTCTTTAATGCATAATATGTCATTTAATTAACTATTTAAAGAATAGAAGATGCCAACGGGGTATAGCCCAATGAAAAAGGGTATTGACTTGCAAATTAGCGATCTTGGATTCAAACCATCATGGTACCGTGTTAGTGCGTGTGTGAGAAACTCACCTCCTCCTGTAAATCAGACTATCACTTGTATTAAAAAAGAATAAAAGAATTTTAATCCTTTTTCTCTGTGTGTGGCTCAAGTCACTTAAGTTTAGTGCCAATCTTAATTTATTTATTTAAAATTTATGATGATACAGAAGTTGCACAGTTTGGGAGCTCGAAAATTTGTTGTGATGTCGGTAAATCCACTTGGGTGCAGTCCAGTGGTGAGGATGAACAGACCAACACACAATGGCTGTGTACAAAATATGAACCGAGCAGCTCACCTTTTCAATTCTCACTTGAAGTCTTTGGTGGATGTGATTAGGGCAGAGATGCCTGGCTCTTCTCTTGTATTTGTCAACTCCTACAAGATCATCAGGGACATTATCAAAAACCCTATCTCCAAAGGTACATAAACAGATCTCTCTTGGCCCCTTCACATTAAACAATGGAGAAGAATAGAATTCTTAATTATCTATTTTAAACAATATATCCCCCAATAATAGGGTGTCCAAAATATAGTTTTGCATGCATGTATAAAATACATTTCACCAAACTAGCTGTAGATTATCTTTATGCTTGCCATGGCATGCAAATTTCAAATTATACGATAAAAGTCGGGGTGACAATGGTGGAGCGAGGATTTTATGCAATTAACATTCAAAGTTAAATGATATAATCTTATTAAGCCTATTACCTACAAGAGTGTAAGTGGAAGTTTTTTTTTTTTTTTCTTTTTCTCAGTAATATCGTACGATTTCAGTTCTATATATTAATGTAAATAGGCAAACATTTATTGGTGATAGGGGTTCCATATGCTGAATTATAGTCATTTTCCTTTAGATCTTGTTTTTTTTTTTTCGGGGTGGGGAAGGGTGTGTGTGTGGTGGGGTGGGGCGGGGATGGTGGGTAAGGCCCACTTATGGCCTACGTATGGCTACTTGGGGTTGAGGCGGTTGCTTCTTTGGGCAGCATGATTGCAAATCTTCATTAATTAGCATATGCATGATAAATTTATGGTAACAACGTACGTGTGACAATGCAAGTTTTCATGCCAAATATATTGGTGCACATACACAAACACATGAGATTCCAATTCAGTGCAAAAGCATTTATGCCTTATGAATCGAAAGCATGTAAATTATGATTGAAAATTCCATGGGTTACAGGATTCAAGGATTCTAGCACTTCCTGTTGTGAAGTGGCATCAATATCTGAAGGTGGAAATGGAATTTTATGCAAGAGGGGAGGTGAAGTGTGTGCAAACAGAAGCAGTCATGTGTTCTTCGATGGCTTGCATCCAACGGAAGCTGTAAACATTCAAATAGCAGCAAAGGCCTATGTCTCTTCTCTTAAAACCGAAGTTTATCCCACTAATATTGCACAAATGACCAAATCCAAAATCTAGGGTTCTTGGTATGACCTCTGTTTGCTACACTTAGGTTTGACCTCTAAAATATAGTCTACCAAGTGACCTCTAAAATATAGTCTACCAAGTGACCTCTAAAATATAGTCTACCAAGTGACCTCTAAAATATAGTCTACCAAGTGACCTCTAAAATATAGTCTACCAAGTGACCTCTAAAATATAGTCTACCAAGTTGGCTTCGGAACATAGTAGGAACTGATAAGTCCAATGGCTTTGTAATGTGTACTTGTGTAGGTTGTTTTCTGGTATGTTTGCAATAAAAATGTATCGATCATGCATTTGTAATACCAAGTTGGCTATATTTTAGATTATAGTGTGCGCGGCCAAGAACTGACTAATAATCAAACAACCGAAATTGGGTGGGGAACTGGCCCAATACGAGTTCTTTTCTATGCCTCAAGTAGAACAAGGACTTGAATATTTCTCTAGTACAAAAAGTAGAAACCGAAACAAGCCTGAACAAACAAAGGGCAAAAATAAACAGTAGATAAAGTGATGAAGATTTCTTTGATTTAGGCAACTTGAGTGTGGCAGAGCAAGAAAAATATAGAACTTTGTCATCAGTTATCAACTGGAAATCCCAAAGGAAAGCAATGTGTTTATCAAATCAGAATTGAAATATGTACTGGTATTTTTGTTTTGGTTGAAAGTCCACTCTGTTTGATGATTGGACGCCGCTGCACAAGAACCTGCCTATTAAATTTGTAGTGGGGAACAAATGGTGTGGGATGTTACAATTCACCCCCCTTAGGGGCCCGACGTTCTGGTTGGCACACTCGCACCACACGGCAGAGTGGTTCTGATACCAAATTGTCACATCTCGGGATCGGCTCCGCCATAGCACGATATTGTCCACTTTGGGCCCCCTATCTGCCCTCACAGTTTTGTTTCTAGGAGCTCAAGAGCAACTTCCCAGTGGGTCACCCATCATGTGATTGATCTAGCCCCAATTCGCTTAACTTCGGAGTTCCCAAGACTCCGAAGCTAGTGAGCTCCCAAAAGGTCTCGTGCTAGATGAAGGTAGACATGTACATATAAGACACATCACTCCCTCTCTATTGGTCGATGTGGGATGTTACATATAATTATTTATTTCCTAAAACATAATCTAAAAGATTATATCTTCAAAATAAACAAAAAATCAATCAAATTAAGTGTTTTGATCATGACGTGTATCGCACAGATTTATTAATCACAATGGATGGACAAGATTGCACGTAAGTATTCTCCTAAGAAATAATCAATTTTTCCCAGTGATCATTCTACGGATGAGCTTACTACTTATGATGACTTTGTCTATAGTTTATAGTCTTCAAATACACCAAAAAGTTCATTGACTTGCATATCAGAGGTCTCAAGTTCGAATGTCATGATATCTTGATTGTGTGTGTGTGTGAGAAACTCTCATCTCCTCTAGTTTACTCGTGTGTGATATTGCCAGGTGTACCAAATCTCAGGCCTCTTGTGTCTGAGAACTTCTTCACTCACTTGTAAAATTCTTTGCTTTCTTCATAAACCTTCAACGAATTAGTGGATCAATTTTCCTGTGATTCGTTGATAATCAGTTTGAGGTGTTTCTCTTGGTAAAGGCTAGAATTCAAGAATTGGGTATTCATCTTCACCTGTTACTGTTTCTTGGTTTTCTTCTACATGTAAAATTGTATAGAACAAAACCCAGTTTTCAGTTTCGATTCAAGGTAAAAAAAATTATGAAAAATTGTACATTTTTCGTTTTGCTTGAATGTTTTGTCTTAGACCTTGGTTTTGGTAGCATGTGAGTTATTTGATAACAGAGTTTAAGGCAGCGGCGTCCAATCATCAAACAGAGTGGACTCTCAACCAAAACAAAAAGCCCCAATTCCAAATACACTGGTCAATTAGGGTTTAACGGAATTTCCCCAACGCTTGTTTGAATAATTCGCAGCAAATCGCAATGGCTCGTAACGAAGAGAAAGCGCAGTCGATGCTCAATCGATTCATCACACTCAAAGCCGAAGAGAAGAAGAAGCCAAAAGAGCGACGTCCATACCTGGCCTCCGAATGCCGGGACCTTGCCGAGGCCTCCAAATGGCGGCAGCAAATCATGGGAGAGATTGGCCGAAAAGTCGCCGAGATCCAAAACGAAGGGCTTGGCGAGCACCGTCTCCGTGACCTCAACGACGAGATCAACAAGCTCATACGGGAGAAGGTTCACTGGGAACGACGAATTGTTGAGCTCGGAGGCCCTAACTACGCCAAACACGCCCCTAAGATGACGGACCTCGATGGCAACATCATCGACGTCCCAAACCCTAGCGGCCGAGGCCCTGGGTATCGGTATTTCGGCGCGGCGAAGAAGTTGCCGGGAGTCAGAGAGCTTTTCGAGAAGCCACCGGAGCTGAGAAAGCGGAGGACGAGGTACGATATATACAAAAGGATTGATGCGAGCTATTATGGGTATAGGGACGATGAGGATGGGGTTCTGGAGGAGGTTGAGGCTCCGGCGGAGGAGAAAATGAGAGCGGAGGCCGTGGCGGAGTGGAAACGGATGGAGGAGATAAGGAAAGAGGCAAGGAGGGCGGTGAAGAGTGGGGAGGTGGTGTCGGTGGCAAAGGCAAAGGAGGTTTTGTTTGAAGAGGAAGAAGAGGTGGTTGAGGAGGAGAGGCAGAGAGAAAGGGAATTACAAGAGAGGAGTGAGAGGGAGAAAGAGTTTGTGGTGCATGTGCCGTTGCCGGACGATAGGGAGATTGAGAAGATGGTGCTGGAGAAGAAGAAGAAGGAGCTGCTGAGCAAGTATACTAGTGATGGATTGTTGGAGGAGCAGTCTGAGGCTAAGCAGATGCTTAACATTCAGCGCTAGAATGCAGACACCAAGAAAGAGAAAGAGTATGTTACTGTGTTTAATTTGACTCATTGACTGATAAGAAGTTGTTTGTTCTTATCAAATTGATGTTTAAGATGGATTTTTGATGTATTAATGTTCTGGCATAGGTTAAATTCTCTTTGGTTATTGGTAGGCTTTGTTAAGTAAGTGTTTGTAAGGTATTTAGATGGTGGATTGAGTAATAGTTGTCCTTGATGATGAAACAAGTTATATTTGTCACTTTGGATTTAATTTCAAGGAGCTGTAATTATCAGTTGATTATGACAAGTTTTGTTAGCCTTTCTACTACATGTTCTGTTCTTTTATCAAAGTTTCATTACTTTGTTTATTGCTGAGTTTATCTGGCTACCTCTTTCAAATTATGCTTAAGCTGTGTAAACAAAGAACATATCAACTGTTTAGTTTATACGCGATTTGTACTCTTTAGTACATTAGCAAATTTCTAATTCTATATTATGTTGCCTTCATCATCTCTTCAATAAGGGTTATATCATGGATATTTCAGGTAAAATTGCTAAAGATTTTATATTACAGATACTATTTGTTTTTTTTCAATTGAAAAGGAGAATGGAGTGTGAAAATTCCATTATTGATTGTTCTAATAGGTTTTCTTGTGACCTTCCATACAGTAAATGATTTGTAATCTTTTCTTTAGGCTTAGCTAACATTGTTCTTAAGAAAAAGCTAATTTCAATAACATAATGTATCACAATCATTTCTAAAAGTGCTATAAAAAGGTTTGTGCAGTGATTTTTTGTAATAGCTTCTATAGTGATGTCTTGGATACTATAATCCATTATTATTATTATTATTTTCAAATACTTCCTACTTGGCTTAGAGGGATCTATATATGCCACTCGAAGGCGATGAGATCTTTGAGCTTGTGCATGGGAGGTGACGATAAGTTAAATTTCTTGGCTATAGACCATGGATTGATAAGTTAGTACTTTTATAATGCTGTGAAGATACAAAGGACCCATTGGCTTAGATTCACATTTTAAGATCAATAGGAACTGTTGAGAAGGTTGGTGTGCAAGGGCCTCAGTTGCATTCTTTTAAATGAGACATCTCAAAGTGTTTGTGGAATTCATATCCCACAATTGATGCTTTCATTGAGAGCCACCTCAACAGGATTTTCTAATTTGTTATAGATAACTTAGAATCTTGCTATTATTAGGGAATCTCTTTAAGTTTTACTTCTAATTTGTTATAGATGAGGTTTCCAATGTGGATATAGTTGTCTCTGCCTGATGCAATCCTAGACATGCAGATATCTTGGAAACATTAGCAAAGTATGTGCTTGTTCATAAAGTTTTTTTCTTCTTTGTTCTGAGTTTATCATTGTGCTAGTTTTTCTTTCTTCTTTTTGGTTTAATAAAGAATGATAATGATGCGAGCCAGAATATTTAGCATCTTGAGCAACAAATTGTTCCTTGTAAAAGAATGTTTCTGCATCTTTATGTTGGTTTTGATTTAATAAGGATTTCTTGTCAAAGATGTTCAGTTGCAAAGGTTGTTGGCTGGTTGTTGGCTGGTCAGGTCCCCCCAATTTTTTTCCCTCTTGTACTGTCTCTTCACGTCAATAATGCCATAATATGAAGGAAAACTATGGAGTGTGCCCCCTTCTTTTAAACCCTGCAGTGGCATTTGCTTCAGTGACTCTGATGATCAGGTACACCATCTTCATTTCTCCTCTATATTTATGAAATAACCCAATCAGTATTTTCTTTGTTTTTTCTTTTGTGGCTTAGAATTCTCCCTTCTTTTTTGTTTCTTTTTCTGGGGTCTCATTTATGTTGCTGTCACTATGGCTATGTTTTAAAGATCAATGACATTTCATGCAACAGTTTACAGAGCTGCTACTGTTTAGGAAATCCATGCTACCAATTTGTGTTCTTTGGTTTCGTCTTATCAGATGTTTTGAGCCTTGTTTAGGAAATCTATGGTAAATAAAATTTAGGTTTGTTTCATACTAGTATGATTTTCACTGAGAACTTGGGTTGATGAAGAAGAAAGGTTGGAAGTAAGTTTTAAAGTATACTATCTGCATTATGAGATCTTGAGGTAGTTTGAGCATTATATATAGATTAGAATGCCCAGCAAGCAGTAGTGAATTTTTTTATTTAAGTTGCCTTATCTGGTAAATAAAATTGTATACAGCTCTGGTTAGAGTTCATTTGGTATTGTAATATTTCACCATTTCTGTCAATGTACATGAGCACAAATTAAGTCCACTCAAATTTTCTTTTATCAATGACTGAAAATCAAATAAACAGAAACCTTAGAAGTGCCATGTTTTAAACAATTGCCAGAGCTGATGAGGGCACTCCAAATAATAAAAATAGGAAACCATTTTTATTTGGACATGTTAAACAGGATCCTTGGTTCTCATCATTTACAAAAAAAACATGACACTTTCTGATGTGCCTTAGCCTGCAGTGGGGCAGAGTTTCTAATGGGGAGCAGACGCGGTTTCTGTTACTGTTTGGTCTCTAATTATACTATCCCTGCTCTATAGTTTCTAATTGTTATGTGTATCAGAGTAGAATAACTAGTAAGGTTGGCTTGGCACACCATAAATTTGACTTGTTTTACCCTTCAGCAGTTTAAAAACTTGTACACTATGCTTTTTTTTTTAAAATGTGTGGACTTTTGGGTTGTGTGTAGATTGTTCTGGTATTGCGTTGTGTTAATTGATTTTGATTCAGTTATGGTCAGTATATGTCCTGGGCCCTTTTTCAGGTGACAGAAGCAAGTGAGGCATTTTAAGAGCTTCTTTTTCTTTAGCTGTTAATAGAATTTTCTTTTCTTAACTACTGCTGTCAACTTTTTGGGTTCTTATTTTCTGATTGTCATTGTAAGTCTTCTAGAGCATGATATTGTCTTTGTGTTATGATTTTCTGTGTTTACTCTATCTTCTTTTGTTTTTACTATATCTTTTGTGCCTTAAACATATCTCTCTCTTTTCTTCATTGTTGGGTTAGTTTGCGACCTATGTTTGTTTTCACAAGTGTTATGTATAAGATCATTTAAAATTTTGTTTAAAGACATTTTTGGTTCCAATTCTTCATTGCTTGTTTATCTTGTTTGATGTTTGAGCTTTATTTTCAAGTACTAAGAGGTTTGAGCCTTATTTTCGGGTACTGGGATGTTTGAACAATATATATTTTAAGATTACAATATATTAAGGTTACCATCCAAATGTTTGGTTTTTCCTGAAATACACTATTGAAGAAATCTTTGGTCCCAATTCTTCACTTTCGAGTGAAATCCAATAGAAAAAACTATGCAATACACCAACCACTCCATTTCAGAACGAAAGTACTAAGAGGTTTGAGCCTTATTTTCGGGTACTGGGATGTTTGAACAATATATATTTTAAGATTACAATATATTAAGGTTACCATCCAAATGTTTGGTTTTTCCTGAAATACACTATTGAAGAAATCTTTGGTCCCAATTCTTCATTGCTTGTTTTATCTTGTATGATGGTGAGCCTTATTTTCAGGTGCAAATATGCTTGAGCTCCCAGGTTTTCTTTTTCAATTTTTTGTTTTAGCATGATTTAAATATTGGTCGTATTAAAATATAAGAATTGACAAATTGGCAGAAAATATGGGGAAAAATGGACAGATGTTTGGGGAATATAAGATTCAAGTTTATCTAGTATTGTATTGTTTCACATGTTATGAAAATATGCAGATCTATGTCATTTTCTTTTGAAAAAAGTTCTCTATATATGTTATTAGTTGGTGCTATAATCTTGACTGACGGTTCTTCGGGGAAATTGAAGTATTTCTCATAATACGCTGTTTTCATGTTAAGAATCTCAAGTTTTGTTAGTTCTCGGAGTGTGGAGATGTTCTTTCATATATATGCAATGTCTAGATGAAGTTGAATTGTTCATGAAATTTATTACAATGATGTCTAGTATAATATAACATAGCTAAATTTTGAAGCATTCAAACTCGTATAGGCTAGCCTTATCTATCAGACACTGAAGCATGTCTGGAGAAAATATTAATGGGTGTGTTGCTGACCACTTTTATTGGTTTTAGGGAGCGTACCAAAGGAGAGAAAGCAAGTGGCAGCATGGTGAGGTTGACTGAGACTGACTTGTCCATGAGAAAGTGGTATGGGATGCAGAGGTGTGGCGTGCTCCACGCCATTTGTTCCTCACTAAAAATTTGATAGGCAGGTTCTTGTGCAGCGGCGTCCAATCATCAAACAGAGTGGACTTTCAACCAAAACAAAAATATCAGTACATATTTCAATTCTGATTTGATAAACACATTGCTTTCCTTTGGGATTTCCAGTTGATAACTGATGACAAAGTTCTATATTTTTCTTGCTCTGCCACACTCAAGTTGCCTAAATCAAAGAAATCTTCATCACTTTATCTACTGTTTATTTTTGCCCTTTGTTTGTTCAGGCTTGTTTCGGTTTCTACTTTTTGTACTAGAGAAATATTCAAGTCCTTGTTCTACTTGAGGCATAGAAAAGAACTCGTATTGGGCCAGTTCCCCACCCAATTTCGGTTGTTTGATTATTAGTCAGTTCTTGGCCGCGCACACTATAATCTAAAATATAGCCAACTTGGTATTACAAATGCATGATCGATACATTTTTATTGCAAACATACCAGAAAACAACCTACACAAGTACACATTACAAAGCCATTGGACTTATCAGTTCCTACTATGTTCCGAAGCCAACTTGGTAGACTATATTTTAGAGGTCACTTGGTAGACTATATTTTAGAGGTCAAACCTAAGTGTAGCAAACAGAGGTCATACCAAGAACCCTAGATTTTGGATTTGGTCATTTGTGCAATATTAGTGGGATAAACTTCGGTTTTAAGAGAAGAGACATAGGCCTTTGCTGCTATTTGAATGTTTACAGCTTCCGTTGGATGCAAGCCATCGAAGAACACATGACTGCTTCTGTTTGCACACACTTCGCCTCCCCTCTTGCATAAAATTCCATTTCCACCTTCAGATATTGATGCCACTTCACAACAGGAAGTGCTAGAATCCTTGAATCCTGTAACCCATGGAATTTTCAATCATAATTTACATGCTTTCGATTCATAAGGCATATATGCTTTTGCACTGAATTGGAATCTTCATGTGTTTGTGTATGTGCACTGATATATTTGACATGAAAACTTGCATTGTCACACGTACGTTGTTACCATAAATTTATCATGCATATGCTAATTAATGAAGATTTGCAATCATGCTGCCCAAAGAAGCAACCGCCATAACCCCAAGTAGCCATACGTAGGCCATAAGTGGGCCTTACCCACCATCCCCACCCCACCACACACACACCCTTCCCCACCCCGAAAAAAAAAAAACAAGATCTAAAGGAAAATGACTATAATTCAGCATATGGAACCCCTATCACCAATAAATGTTTGCCTATTTACATTAATATATAGAACTGAAATCGTACGATATTACTGAGAAAAAGAAAAAAGAAAAAAGAAAAAAAAAAAACTTCCACGTACACTCTTGTAGGTAATAGGCTTAATAAGATTATATCATTTAACTTTAAATGTTAATTGCATAAAATCCTCGCTCCACCATTGTCACCCCGACTTTTATCGTATAATTTGAAATTTGCATGCCACGGCAAGCATAAAGATAATCTACAGCTAGTTTGGTGAAATGTATTTTATACATGCATGCAAAACTATATTTTGGACACCCTATTATTGGGGGATATATTGTTTAAAATAGATAATTAAGAATTCTATTCTTCTCCATTGTTTAATGTGAAGGGGCCAAGAGAGATCTGTTTATGTACCTTTGGAGATAGGGTTTTTGATAATGTCCCTGATGATCTTGTAGGAGTTGACAAATACAAGAGAAGAGCCAGGCATCTCTGCCCTAATCACATCCACCAAAGACTTCAAGTGAGAATTGAAAAGGTGAGCTGCTCGGTTCATATTTTGTACACAGCCATTGTGTGTTGGTCTGTTCATCCTCACCACTGGACTGCACCCAAGTGGATTTACCGACATCACAACAAATTTTCGAGCTCCCAAACTGTGCAACTTCTGTATCATCATAAATTTAAATAAATAAATTAAGATTGGCACTAAACTTAAGTGACTTGAGCCACACACAGAGAAAAAGGATTAAAATTCTTTTATTCTTTTTTAATACAAGTGATAGTCTGATTTACAGGAAGAGGTGGTTTCTCACACACGCATTAACACGGTACCATAATGGCTTGAATCTGAGATCGCTAATTTGCAAGTCAATGCCCTTTTTCATTGGGCTATACTCGTTGGCATCTTTTATTCTTTAAATAGTTAATTAAATCACATATTATGCATTAAAGAGAAAATGACATGTCATGCATTTAACTTGTCAAATCTTTTATTTCCGAAAGATCTTGCATATATCATGTTAGATTTCTGATCATGAACGTTAGGTAGGTCAAATCTTTTATTCAATTCCTGCTTCTGATGTTCTATGCGTATTTTGCCTAAAAGACTTTGACCTGTAATTAACCTTTATTACATGTGTGTGGAGTGGGTTGGGTTTATTACTGAATTTTATGCATGTCTGCATACCTACCAACAAGTATTAATTGTTTCACTGTACCTCTGTCTGAGACGTACATTGGCAGGCCATGAACCGTACCTCATACGTGTCCAATGGTAATGACCTAAAGCAGTGGCATGGCACCCCTCATCATAAATGAACAAGTCTTTTTACCATCAAAGGAAAAGTCATAAAACATTTACATTAATTTACACGGAACCATGTTCATCCAACAGGTTCAGGTTGTATTATACATTCATACAAAACTCTAGCAAATCGCTGAAAGATTTAATTTGTGTGGTGTGTGTTGTTTGCTTCCTGATGAAATCATTTACTACCTACTGATCAAATCATTTACTACCTACTGAACCGGGAGTCTATATACGAAATGATATACTCGAGTTATAATATAAAAGCACACGGTGTGGTTGACGTGCTATATCACACAGTACCATACTATACTTACTTATATTCTACATTCATATTCTTTTTCGGGGTTAATCATTTTATTAGTCTCTGAATTTAGACCCGATTTGCATTTGAGTACCTTAATTTCCAAAATGGTTTTCATGGTCAAGTAACTTTAATTTCGTTAAGACAAATGATAATGTGATCAATTTTGTTAACTTTTCTATTAAGTGCAGGGGCAAAATGATATTTTTATATCAAAATTTATTAAAATATGAATAAAAAGTTTAAAAAACTAACAAATTTAAAATTAAACTCTCTCTCCCCCCCTTTATCCCGATTTTTACTCCTCCAAACTTGATTTTTTTTTGTTGGTTTTTTTATTTGATTTTCTTTTATTGTTATTTTAAAGATATGATTTTTTATTCTTTTTTTTGTTTTAATATAAAAATACCATTTTGCCCCTGTATTTAACAGAAAAAGTTAACAAAATTGACGGCAGGACCATTTGTCCAAACAAAACTAAAATTAAATGACCATGGGAACTATTTTGGAAATTGAGGTACTCATACAAATCGGGTCAAAATTCAAGAACTAATAAAATGATTAATCCATCTTTTTCTTATTTAGCATGTTATATTGTCATATTGTTAATTTCAATTATATGTACTCAATCTTCTTGCATAATTGAATTTGTGTGAAAATATTATTAAAAGAACAGCAATTTTATGAAAATCACTTGGGATGTTGAAGATACGCACCTTTAGTTGTCTGGACAAAGAGGCAGTTAGATTGGCAGTAAAAATTTCCAGACTGACATTTTGGTTGGATCTCCTCAGAAAGTAGTTGAATGAGTAATCGTTTCCACCAGTTCCCACCACAAACAAGTAGTTGGGAAGTGACTGAGGGCTTCTGCACCCTAGTTGGGTTTCTAACTCTAGCAACGTTATCTCCTCAAAGTTTCTAATTTGCTGGTTCAGATTGATCACATGGCCCTGAAAATTGCAAACCCCATTTCAACAAATTGAATTTAGGCATGGCTAGCTTACACATGGTTAGATCAGATGCTAGCCATCAGTTTCTGCTTAATTTGGGTTCATGAAAACATAATATATATATATATATATATAATATAACAACTAGAATTCAAAAAAATATATATATATATATATATATATTGTCAGACTGTAAATCGACGAATGTAAATTTATGTTTCATGACATAAATCTAAAACTTTGAACATTATTAACCCATATATAGAATTTAAAATAGTATTATGCACGTAAAAGGTTGGCTCATAGAGTATATAGGATCCCTAGCTTTTGTGATAGAACACTTACATATCCAACAACTACGACCAAAAAAATGTAACTTTCACGCATCACTTCCGAAGGAACAGGTATCCAACAAATTAAGCTTCACAGATGGAATACAGATCATTATTGCCATTGACTCAGTCACATCACATTTTATTTCTAAGGAAGATCTCTGTGTTTTTGTTTTTTCCTTTTGCTAATATAGAATGTTTCTGGGTTACTAATAGCAAAATTTGGCCGTTTACTGCTAAAGAGCGTTTTTTTCTCCTCAAATAATCTCTGTGGAACTCCGTCTACGTTGTATTTCACTCAAATTCGAAATTATTTAACTACTTAAGTAAGAAGTTTTCGTTTTAGTATTTTCTTAAAGTACTATGTTTGTCTATTTTATTGATAATAACTACGTGTTTTACTGTTGAAATATTATATATATATAACGGTCATCATGAACTCAGGGTGATACGTGTAGTGCAAGACGAAGAAGAAGAAGTAGAAACTAATAATAATAATAATAATAATAATAATGATAATAATAAAAAGAAGAAAATGATGATAATGATAAAGAGGAAGTAAATTGGCATACCGCTAAGGAGCCAGTATCATCCAGTATACCAGAAGCACCAGAAGCAAAGTTGACACCATGAACAATCTTGCTTCCTCTAGTTTTGGGGTCAGCAAAAGCTGGGATCAAGGAAGGTAACTTAAGATGGCCACCAAGAAGGTCAATAACATTTCTGCCATTTGTGAACCTTCCAGAAGGCCCAAGAGGAAAATCAATTCCGTAGGGCAAGTAATCAGCTCTGGCAAGAGAGTTTGGCAAGAAGTTATTGTTGCCATTGTCAACCAAGGAACTTCCAAACACAAACATCCCTTTCATCATCCCACCCTCTGCATTTTTATTACTTACACTACTACAATGGCAACCGCAGAAGGGAAAACAAACAAGGAGGGAGAGGGCTAAGAAGAAAAGTCTGGAAGATGTTGCAGCCATTTCAGTTTTGGTAGTATGGGCTTGTTGGTTGATACATTTATAGGGGATCCCATATTCAGCTACAATAAATAATGGATTTTATTTAACCTAAATACAGCGGTTTTAATGTGTAGTCATTTTTGGTGAAAAATGGGGCCCCATCACCAATCATAAATAGAAACGAGTATTTATGGAACTTGTTTTACATAAAAACCCTAAATTTATTATTAATATTTTTTTTAGTACAAGTAATAGTCTAACACGACACAATAACACAACACGAATTCGCAAAAAAAATTCAATATTCGTATCTTTCAATTGAATTATCGTGTCACTTAATACTAGCACATGACAATAAACCAAAATAAATAGTGCATAACTGAATTTCCTAATAAAACCTAGAACTTCTATTTATAAGTATAGCCTAAATAGATGAAAGAATTGCAAAGGACTTGTAACCTAAGTGGTTAAGAGCATTATTACCCACCTAAGATCCTAGTTTGATTCCCATTTCCCCTAATATACTATATTACGGGTTTATTTGGTTCACATAACGAGGTTTTAGGAAATAAAACTCTCACACCTATTTGTGGGAGATAGAAATGAATGATTTTTTATTTAAGTGTTTGTGCTGGAAATTATAACCAAGAAAGGCCTTCCATATACATTTTCATGTTTTGTTTGTATGGTAATAGGAACAAAGTTGTATTAGTTTCTCAATAATACCCTTGTTAAATAAAGAAGTGCCAAGGACTTTAAAGATAGAAATAGTAATTTATAAATAAATAAAAATGAGATTTACTATTATACCTAGGGGTGGTTGCGGTTCGGTAACCGCAAATTTTTACTCAAATCGCAAACCGACCGACTATTTGCGGTTTGGTGATTTTTGAAACCGCAAACCGACCGCGTTTTGCGGTTTAAAACCGCAAGTTCTCAATCATTCACAAAAATATAAATTCACAACCTAAATAAATAAATACACAACCTCAATTTCTCAAGCATATATAAATTCACAATCTCCTCAACTTCTCAAGCATTCACAACCTAAGAAAATTAAAGTTACAATTCCAAGCACTTCAATTAAAGTTAAACTTCTCAAGCATTCCAATTCCAAATCCTTTAAAGTTACAAATCAAAAGGAAAATGCAAAGCAAAATGAATTAAAGTTACAACCAAAAAGAAAAATTCAATTCAAAGTTAATTAAAGTTACAAACTAAAAGAAAAATGCAATGCACCAATGTTACAAACTCAAGTGTTGGTGGTGAGTGGATTTGAAGAACCCCGTTGTGTTGTTTGAGCATCAATGTTATCTACAAATAAAACAACATAGTTTAGTACATTTTATTATAAGAAGAAGCATAATAACATTAGCATAAATAAACTAATTACTTACAAGTTGTCATGTGTTCCATTTCCTTGTAGAATTCAACTTCATCATCCGTGCGACTATACTTTGCGGTTTGCGCTAACCGCAAGTTTTGAAAATCAAATACCGCAACCGCAACCGCAAATGCGGTTCGGTTTACCGCGATTGCGGTTTCATTGCCGTAAATTGTCGGTTGGTTTTTGCGGTTTTTCAGTTTTTCGGTTTAAAATGCCACCCATAATTATACCTAATATAGGAGTAAAATTATTTATATAAAAAAAAACCATATATGAAATGGACTTTAGAAATACACCCAAAACTCATTTACAACACAACAAAAAGACTTTTAACTTCTTATAAATTACAAAACTGCCATCGATTTTTTAAAACAAGTCCAACCCCAAAACATTATTATAAAAAAATTCAAAACACTCAATAGGGTATCAAAGTAATTTAATAATCAAAATTAAATTCAATAGGTTCAGTTGTCATTTTTTGAGTTTGTTTATAGAAATTAAATGGTGCAGGGTTTATCTATATCATTAATGCTAAGAATAGATATATGACTAAATATCTCTAAAAAAATTGATGGAGTGTATACCCGAGAATGCAATGAAAGCTTTTTGAAAACATGTGAAATCCATACCCGAGAGAGGTGCTATGGGTTTCATTTCCCTCCTACCATGGTTTTATTGAACCATGAAATTGGAATTAATATGATTTCAAACTTTTCATGCGTATATTAAAATATGGGTATTTAAATTATTAGTATTCTTGGTTTCCTCTACATTTAGTAACCCATAAAAATCTAAAAGTGTGCAGGTTCTATATTATAATTTGTAATTCAATAATTTTAAAATTATGTATTAATATACAAATTTATAAATAAACCCAATCTTAGACATGTATTTATAAAAAAATCCAACACCCAAAACACTTTATAAACACACCCAAAACCCATCATTACACACACTCAAAACTCATTTATAAACACACCAAAAAAATATACAATTATTGATTTTGGGGTTGATTTTGGGTGTATTTCTATGTTTAAATAGTGTTTGAGTTTTTTTTTTATAAATACATATCTATGATTGGGTTTATTTATAAATTTATATTAGATTTATTATTAGGAGTAGTTGATTCTATTCTCATTCATTCTCTCTTGGTGATGTTATCCATTTTAAATAAGACATATTACATTCTAAAAAATACACTTATAAAATATAAGAATGAATTTTTACACTCCAATAACCAAACCTGCCCTATGTAGTATAAAAACAATTATTAAAAAAACACTACTTGTTGGAAATAGAGAACGGGTGCTTAAAGGCTTTTCTAAGCTGCAGACAAGTCGTGGTCAAATTTGTCACTAATCTTGAAGCTTGACCGACTAATGATGAAACTTATTTATATTGATCAAAACATCAAATGCTAAAGTCAAGGCTGAGTTTGCACCAAAGCTTTGATTAGTGGATTCCACGCACCATTTACCAGTTCAGTACACAAATTTTGTTTTCTCTGCTCATGAAACTGGTCAGTATACACACTTGCTTTCTACGATATTTGCTTTGGTGTGAACTCTCTTCGGATCTTTTATGTTGATCAGCTTGACTTGTATTCATTACATGTCAAAGTTAGGAATGGTAAGGAGATTTTCTCAATTACACACAGTACTAAGGTGTCATGAAAGTTCAAACTTGAGACCATTGGTCTGCAAATCAAGGCTCTAGCGAGACTCATTAACAACAATTAAGAGTTGACACGTCACATTTATAAATTGAGTGGGGAACTGGCCAAATACGAGATCTTTTCTATGCCTAAAGTAGAATAAGGACTTCAATATTTCTCTAGTACAAAAAGTAGAAACCAAACCAAGCCTGAACAAACAAAGAGCTAAAAAATAAACAGTAGATAAAGTGATGAAGATTTCTTGATTCAGGTAACTTGAACTCAGATCGAACAACAAGAATCACAGTTGAGAGACTGCTCGTCAACAGGAGATCATACCAGCAAAATGTGTGGCAGAGCAAGAAAAATAAAGAACTTTGTCATGAGTTATCAACTGGAAATCCCAAAGGAAAGCAATGTGTTTATCAAATCAGAATTGACATATGTACTGATATTTTTGTTTTGGTTGAGAGTTCACTATGTTTGATGATTGGACGCCGCTGCACAAGAACCTGCCTATTGAATTTTTAGTGAGGAACAAATGGTGTGGAGCATGCCATGCACACCCCTGCATCCCATACCACTTTCTCATGGACAAGTCAGTCTTAGTCAACCTCATCATGCTGTCACTTGCTTTCTCTCCTTTGGTACGCTGCCTAAAACCAATAAAAGTGGTCAGCAACTCACCCATTAATATTTTCTCCAGACATGCTTCAGTGTCTGATAGATAAGGCTATACGAGTTTGAATGCTTCAAAATTTAGCTATGTTATACTAGACATCATTGTAATAACTTTCATTAACAATTCGACCTCCATCTAAACATTGCATCTAGATGAAAGAACATCTCCGCAGTCGGAGAACTAACGAAACTTGATATTCTTAGCATGAAAAATCTTCTTTCGAGGAAATACCAAAAGCAATAGGAAACTTGGCCAATCTCAGGTTGTTGGATTTGACTTCGAATACAAGTGTTAAGATAACTCCGTCCAAAGTAATGTCTAGGTGGTCTAGGTTATACGAACTACGCATGGAAAGTAGTTGTAGAGATAGGGGAGTAAAGTTGAAGGATCAAGAGAAAGAATTAATGCTGGTTTTGATGAGTTAACTTGTTTGTCGTACTTAAACATTTTGATAGTTCAAATTTTTTTATGCACAATGCATTCCTAAAGATGTTTGGTTCCATCCGAACTGGGAAAAATTATGCACATTTATCAAGGGTAAAGCAAGACCCTTATAACCGATGGAGGAGGCTAAAAAACCAACTGAACAGTTTAGGATTGGTTCCCGTCCCAATTCTTGCCTTGGAAAAACTGATTCAAATTGAATTAGACCTGTTATGTTAAGCGTACATATTCATTTATATCCAAGTTTATTAGTAACCCCAAGTAATATGTCGATACTTTAGCCCAATTAATACCCAACTAAATAACAACTCTAGCAATATGTTTTCCTCTCTCTTGCCCATTATCTCGTCACCTCTTTCTCTATTGAATATTTTCTCGTTTTCGTATTTCACTCTTCTTTCCTTTTAACTCTTCTCCTCATTTCTCTCTTCTTCACATCATCCTCTTTTTCTCTTCTTCCAAACTGCAAACCGCCCGTACCAAAATGAAGCCGTATAAGTTTGGTTTGGTTATGTTCCTCTAGAAACTTTTTATTAAAACTAAACCAAACTGGATCTTGTATAAGTTTGGGGTTCGGTTCCAAATCAAGGGATAAACCAGACCGTGTCCACCCCGAGTCAAAACAAAACAACTTAATTAAAAAAAGGGTAAAACTCTTAACAAAAAATTACACACAACTAAAATATTGAAAAACTCTCTACATTTATAGCCAGCCCCATTAAGCACATCGTATGTTGTGGGCAGGGAAGTGGACTTATAAGAACTCTAACCCTTTGTTTGGATGAAGTAATTGAAAATTGTAGAGAAATTTAAATGATGGAATTTAGATCTCCATCGTCTAAATTTCTTGTAATTAATAATTTCAATATTTG